GATTGAATGTGGGGCATTAGATTAGGGGTTGGAAGGTCAGAGATTAGAGTGTCTGAGGCCAGTTTGGAGAGTGGTTACATGGTCTGGTCAAGGGGTTAGGTGTCTGGAAGTCACTTTTCCATTTCTTTCCCCCCCCCAGGGTGAACGAGGGATAAAGGGGGCCTGTGGCCTTGACGGAGAGAAGGGAGATAAGGTACAGAGGTGATGGGAACATGGGCGTCTGTGGGGCCTGGGGCCTGTCTGACCCTTCTACCTGATTGATCCCTGCAGGGAGAAGCTGGTCCCCCTGGCCGCCCTGGGCTGGCAGGACGCAAGGGAGATGTGGTGAGTGTGGGGCACCCAGAATGGGGAGAGGATGGGTGGGCCAAGGCCCAGCTCATGTTTTCTCTTCTCCAGGGGGAGCCGGGTATGCCGGGCCAGTCGGGGACCCCTGGAAAGGAGGGCCTGATTGGTCCCAAGGTATGGGCCCTCTCGACAGTGGACAAAAGGGGGTCAAAATGGGGCAGGGAAGGTCATGGTAGGGTCATGGGGGTTTCATGTCAAGAGGGTTGTAGAAAGTTGGGACACTGAGGGGCAGAGTAGGGTTGGTTTTGAGGTTTCAGGGCGAGTTGGGGTCACAGTGGGGACTTTGGATTAAGGGATGAGAAGAGGAGCAGTGGGGAGAGGTGCGTCAGGGCTAAGAGGTCAGTAGGGGAGGCTGGTGTGTGTATATAAAGGAAATAGGTGGAAGCAGGGCAAGGGGTATTACAGTCAGGTCAGGGTCGTGAGGATCACAGCAGATTGAAGGTCCTGGGATGGTAGGGTCACAGGTGCTTGGGTCATGGAAGATTGTGGCCATTGGACCAAGGGGCTCATGGCAGTTGAACTGAGGACATCAAAACAGATGGTCTCTCATGCTTCTTTCTGTTCCCAGGGTGATCGAGGCTTTGATGGGCAGCCAGGATCCAAGGGTGACCAGGGTGAGAAAGGGGAGCGGGTAAGTGGAGACCAAGGTCAAGCTAAAGGGACTGTACTTTCTGGAAGTGGGTCCATCTTTGGGGACTTTGATCACTGACTCTGACCTGTCTCTCCACAGGGGCCCCCAGGAATTGGGGGCTTCCCAGGTCCCAGGGGCAATGATGGCTCTAGTGGCCCCCCTGGGCCACCTGGCAGTGTTGGTCCCAAAGGCCCTGAAGGACTTCAGGGCCAGAAGGTAAACAGCTCTGGCCCTGACTCCTGATCCCTGAACCTCCCTGACCCTTCCAATATCACTGACCTCTGACCCTGCAACCCATCGCCAATACCCCTGAGCCTATGATCTCAACTTTCCTTCCTTCTGACCTCCACTGACTCTGACTGCTCACTCATCCTTGTGTCTGACAGGGTGAGCGAGGTCCCCCTGGAGAGAGAGTGGTGGGTGCCCCTGGGGCCCCTGGGGCCCCTGGAGAGAGAGGGGAGCAGGTAAGTGGGGATTCCTGGGGTTGGGGTCAGAGACTGGGGTGACCTCTGGTGTCCCTAAGATCAGAGGTCACAGTCTGGTCCCATCTGTTGCACACAGGGGCGGCCAGGGCCCGCTGGCCCCCGCGGGGAAAAGGGAGAAGCTGCGTTAACAGTAAGTGTAGGCCTTCGTGGGCTGGGCCCCTGACTCAGTGCTGTCCCCCTGTGATCCCTGCATCATATGCCCTTTGTCCCTCCCGTGATCCCTGGGTTCTTCATGATCCTTGTGGTCTTGTGCTCCCAGGAGGATGACATTCGGGGCTTTGTGCGTCAGGAGATGAGTCAGCATTGTGGTGAGTGGGGCCCAGCCCAGAGCCTCTTGGGTCTCATTCCCATTCTACTCCAGCACCCCTAGACAGGGGCAGGTGGGGTCCCCAGAACTTATGGGGGACCAGCAGTCACAGAGATGGGTGGAGATGGATAGATACACAGGAGGGCATGTATGCTCAGGACAGACATACTATGAGGACTTTCCCCAAACGGTGACACGCAGCAAATGTGGGTGGACACACGGTGTTCCTAGAAGCCCAGTGTGGCCGTGTGTGGAGGGGTGGAGGCGGGAGCAGCCCAGTGGGGCTCTGATGGCCCTGAGGGGTATCAGAGAGTGAAGCTCCGTCTCCTCCTGTCTCTGCTTCCGTTCCCTCTCCATGCCTGTCTGTTTCTGACGCTCCCTCTCTTGCCCTTTGTTGGCCTGTTCCCAACTTCTCTTTCGTCCTTTGTCTGTTTCTCCTCTGCCTTTCTTCCTCTTTCTTCCTTCCTCTTTCTCTGCTTCCCACCCTCTCTCTCTTTCTGTCCTGTCGGTCTCTCTGTCACTCTCTCCTGCTGTCTTTCTCTGCCCCGCTGTGTGTGTCCCTCTGTCTCTCTCTTTCTCTGCCCCTTTCCATCGTTGTCTCTTTCTCTCTGTTCTTTTCTCTCTCCCTGCCCTTCTCTGCCCCCTCCAGCCTGCCAGGGCCAGTTTATTGCATCTGGATCACGTGAGTAGTTTTCTGGTATTTTCTGCTCCTGGGACTTTCCTCATGCCAGGTCCCACTGTGTCCATTACCTGGGTTTGCTCAGCAGGGACTTGGCTGGGGTGGCTGCCATCATGACCCCAAGGCCCTGTGCCCCTGCTCCTTGCTCCAGGACCCCTCCCTAGTTATGCTGCAGACACTGCCAGCCCCCAGCTCCACCCTGTGCCTGTGCTCCGGGTCTCTCATGCAGAGGAGGAAGGTGAGGACAGGGGAACCATGGGGCATGTGTGGTGGGGCACAGACACATGCGGGGTTGCTCATGCATGCAGGGCACATGCCACGTGTATAGGGGCGACATGGAGGGCACAGCATGAACACTGGGCACACACGTGGGAGACCAGCGCTACCCGCCCCACTCCCAGGGCCGGGGTTGGGCAGCATGAACGTGGCCCAGCAGCAGCCTCACTCATAGCACCCCACCCTGTGTGCAGGCGAGGTGCCCCCAGAGGACGATGAATATGAATATTCTGAGTATTCTGTGGAGGAATACCAGGACCCTGAAGTTCTTCAGGATGGCGATGGTGAGAAGGGGGGTTGGCCCAGAGGGACTCAGGGAGGGACAGTAGTGACCCCTGCTGACCTCTCACTGACCCTCAGTCCCTGACTGCCGCCACCCCTGCTGACCTCCTGACCCCCGTTGGCCCTAGACCCCTGCTTGCTTCCACTGGATGAGGGCTCCTGCACTGCCTACACCCTGCGCTGGTACCATCGAGCTGTGGCAGGTGGCACAGATGCCTGTCACCCCTTTGTCTATGGCGGCTGTGGAGGGAATGCGAATCGTTTTGGGACCCGTGAGGCCTGTGAGCGCCGCTGCATGCCCCGCATGGTCCAGAGCCAGGGAACAGGTATGGGCCTACCCCTCCGCCCCGAGAGGGACCTGGACACTGAGCCTACCCAGATCAGGTCTTGGTCGGGGTCCCACGTCAGGACCCCCCTCAGACTGGGAGGCCTGGGACAGACCTCCCCAGACCAAGTTGCTGAACAGAGGACCCTAGCTGTGGAGTCCCCTCCATGCTCCCTCCTCAAGGGTCTGAGTGAGGATCCCCTCTCTGAGGTCAGAACCTCACTCTTGTGCTCCCAGCTGCCCCACTGACGATCTGCGCACTGCCTCTCTGTGGCCTACATGCTGGGTGAGGCCAGATGCCTGAAGTCAGCTCCCAACCTGTTCCACCCAGGTGCTGCCCGAAGCTGAGGCCCAGATGATGAGCTGAAGTCCAGCATTCCCTGGTGGACTCCTGTCCCTCCCCTTGGTGCTACAGGCCTGAGTGCATGTGAGCGTGCATGAGCGTGTCCGTTATTTCAGTGACTTGGTCCCGTGGGTCTAGCCTTCCCCCCTGTGGACAAACCCCCATTGTGGCTCCTGCCTCCCTGGTAGATGACTCAGTGTGGGGGTGGCTGTGGGCAGTGAGCGGATGTGACTGCATCTGACCCGCCCCTTGACCCAAGCCTGTGACGACATGGTGCTGATTCTGGGGGGCATTAAAGCTGCTGTTTTAAAAGGCCCCTGTTGTGACTGTTTGGGGAGATGGGGATGGCAGGGGGTCCGGTTTTCCCTGGGAGGTCAGTGCTCTCCTGCACGGGTGCAGAGTCCCTCTGTCCAGCCCTGGTCACTGTTCTGTGACTCTCAGTGTCCAACTTGTCCCCAAAAAGGAGTAGACAGAGTGGAGGCTGAGGACACGTCCTCACTGCCCCCCCAGGAGGGGATGAGTCAGAGGTGGGGGGCTGCTTCATGCCGGAGCCGTGCCCAGCTCCTACCTCAGGGGCGAGAGATAAATGGGCCCAGAAGGGGGCAGAGGCCCGACCACAGCACAGCACCGCCTGGTCCCAGCCGCGGGCAGCCCCAGCGGCCCCACCTTGCTCCAGAAGAGGCTGCGGCTGGTAGGACTGGGATGGCTCTGGGTGGGATGGGCAGGGCCTTGGGGGCTGAGTCGATCCGGGTATGGGTTATTGGAGGTCTCCGGACGTGGAGTCTCTGGCTGCTTCTCTACCTTGACGACCCCATTCCTGCCCTTCTTTGTCCACGATCTGCTGCAAGCTCCCTCAGACCCGAGGCTCCCCTTTTGTCCCTCTGTGTTCTCTCCATGCCTTGGTGTCCTTATTTTCATCATGCTGTCTGTCTCTGGGGTGGCTCCAGCCTCTTTGTCTTCCAGTCTCCCTCTTTTGCTCTGCCTCCATGTCCTCCCTCTCGTCTTTTTCCCTCTTCTCCCTCCCCTCCCCAACTGTATCCATCTCTACATCTAGATCCAGACCTAGCTGTGCTCTCTGTCTCTTTCACTCTCCTTCTTGCTCTCTCCGTCTCCCTGGCCCCTGCTCTGTCTGGCTGTCTTGTGCTTTCATCTCTGTCTCTCTTATCTCCGTCCCATGCCTGGCCTCTCTAATCTCTACCTCTCTGTCTCCTTCCCTTGGTCTCCCTCTCTCTGTCTGTCTACTTTCCCCGTCTGCATCTGTCCATGGGCCACGGCTGCCCAGAACCCCTGCCCTGAGCCTCTTTTCTCCTCGCAGCCTGACCACGCGATGACCAGGCGGGCTCTGCTGGTGCTGATGATCCTGACGTCGGGCAGGGCCCTGCTTGTCCCCATGACCCCTATTCCAGCCTTCCAGCTCCTCCCTCAGAACCCTCCCCAAGCCACTCCCCGCCCTGTGGCCTCAGAGAGCCCCTCAGCCAGCACCGTGGGCCCCTCCACTGCTTGGGGCCACCCCAGCCTTGGCCCCCGCCCAGGCCCCCGCATCACTCTCTCACTGGATGTCCCCATTGGCCTCCTGCGGATCTTACTGGAGCAAGCCCGAGCCAGAGCTGTGAGGGAGCAGGCCGCTGCCAACGCTCGCATCCTGGCCCATGTTGGCCGCCGCTGAGCCTGAGGGCAGGGGTCACCCTGAATTAGGAGACCTGGAAGGCAGCAGCAGAGCAGGACGCACTACATCTGGGCACAGTGCGCCTGGCCACAGCCCCGTGCAGTCACTGCCATGTGGTGTCATATCACAGCTGAGTGCCTCACAGAGCCACAGTTTGTTTGGACAGCCCGGACATTGCCATATCGGGTGACTGCCAAATGGAGTCTTGCCATACCTGGAGCCCCACAGACTTACAATATGTCTGGACAGCTTGGACACTACTGTGGAATGTGACTACCGTGTGGAGTCTTGCCATGTCTGGGTGCCCCACAGTCAAAGAGCAAGAATCTGGACACTGCCAATGTGGCCACTCTTGTGCCAGTTTTAGGAACCTCAACGTAGGAGCCCAGTATTGCATCTCAGACCCATCCACCTAAGACCAGACCTGCAGGTCTTCCCTGACCCCAACAGGTCACCACACAGGGGAGTGCAGGCTGAGGGTCACATGCATGTTTTGTGCTTCATGAGGCAGCACCCACCCCAGAAGAATGGGGCCATCACAGGCATCTCCAGGCATGGGTGACCGTACGTGGAAAGTCTGTGGTTGTGACAGCCTTGCCTTGTGCTAGGTGTACGTGTGATCGGTGGGTGCATCTCTGCTGTGGGTGTGTGGGGGTGAGGGGAGGGCATGCGAGGGGGCTGGGCAGAACAGATACTTGTCCCCCAAACCCACATGAAGCACACTCAACACACAGCCAGGCACTGTCCTACCCACAGCCCTGCACACCTGGCCTCGGCCCTTGGACACACATGACTCAGGAGAGAGGAGGCTCGGGCTGCTGGGGCTCCGGTCCAGCCCCATACCTCCTTTGTTGAATTGTCCCAAGCAAACTAAAATGTGCTCACCTTTCCAAGCCTTAGTTTCTTCCTCTGTAAAGCAGCATGATGCCACCAAGCTTCTTGCAAACATTCAGTGACGGTGCACTTGAAGGTTCTAGCACGCAGGAAGAGCTCAATAAATGTAGTGACTGGAGAATGGGATGAGTGAGAATCACAGTCATGTGCACCCAGGCAAGGACAGTCAAGGGTTTGGTCATAGCTGACTATGTTGCCCCTCTGCCCACTCCCCTCCACCCCTGCCCCATTTCACCCACCCGGTTCCTTGGTGTAGAAGGAGTAGGTTTTGCCTAATCTCACACCCCCAGCTCCATTGCTGGGCTGGAGATGGGGCTGACCTTCTGAGCAGTGTGGACAGGCTTGCCTGCAGATGGGGCAGATACCCTGGGTACTGTAGACAGCTCCAGGGCAGACACTGGGCAGTATGGACCGCTCTGCCTGGAGAGAGAGGCCACACGGGCAGGAGTTTGGCTGCCTGGGGTGGGGGCACTGTTGATCTCTCAAGTTGTGAGCGGCCTCGGGGGGCGGGCCCAGGGCGTGGCCGGGGAGGCGGGGCCACGGGGCACACCGAAGCTCCCTCACGAACCCGGAGGGCGGGGCTGCCTGGCTTCAGGCTGCAGGGGGGCAACGGCCCGGGGCCAGTTCGCTTTCAGTATGGAGAGAGGCACGGAGGGAGGCAGCGCCCTGACGGACCCCGGGTCAGGGAGCAGTAGGCGGGGTAGGCACCGGCGGCGGGGAGAGGGTGGGGGGATTGGGGAAAGACCAGGGCGCAGTGGGGGTGGTGCTGGAAGGGGTGCGAGAGTGTTGGGTGTCTCTCTAGCTGTAGGGGTGTTCTGAGGGGGCATCAGCCTGTCGGTGGCAAGGAGGAGGGGGAACCCTGTTGCCGTGCAGGGGAGTGGAGGGGCTGGGCCAAGGGGGAACTATAAATAGCTTCTTCCTGCAGCCCAGGGAGAGGGACAGCCAGCTGGAGCTGCCTGAGGCCCTCCCGCTCTACCCTTTGCTGGCCTCCCAGGGGGTCAGGTTTGTCCAGGTCCCCCTCAGGGGTCACACATCAGTTTGGGGAGGCCCAGAAGCTCATTTGGGAAATTTTTCGTATGAAGTGGCTTTAGCCCTTAAACCAGGATTTCTAGGGCACCTACTGTGTGCCTTGTGTGGGTCCTGAGCTGTTCTAAGCACCTACTGTGTGCTCTATCCTGGTCATGAACCTCTCTAGCCCTTACTGTGTGCCTTGGCTGGCAATGAGTCACTCTGAGTGCCTACTGTGTGCCTTGTGCCAAGCTGCAATCAGCAAGTGCCGACCACAGTTCACAGGCTGCTTGGTCACATGGCTCCATACCCACAAGCTGGAACCTCACACCGTCTGTGAGCTCTGGGCCCAGGGAGACACTGGGGATGATCCTGGGCTTGAACTGGCTGGACGAAGCTGGAATTCCTGGGAACCTTCCAGTGGCACAGAGGGAAGAGGAGGAGGGAAATAAAGGGGAAAGGAGGCAGTAGAGAGCAGCGGGCTGTGCAGCCTTCCTGTCTGTGTAGGCCTGGGTGCAGGGCTTGCTAGTGTGTGTGCACGTGTGGCTCTGTGTTCATGCTTCCGTGCACTGGCATGTGGGGCTGTGTGGCATTCACTGAGGTCCCTGGGCCTTTATGCTGCAAAGGGTGGCTTGACGGTCTGGCCAGGACTGACCAACAGATACAGGTTTGGGGAAGAGTTTGAGCAGCAACAACTGAGGATCGAGGACTTCAGCCAACCTATAGCTTGTAGCCTGGGACACTGGAGAGAGGTCTAGTGGTCAGTGCAGAGGGCACCATGGGAGCCAGCCAGGACCAGGCCAGGCAGGTTCATAGAGGAGGGGGGAGACTGAGCAGGACACATTCACACATGAGTGCACGCCGACATCCCAGCACACTTTCCACCCCGTCACTTTGGGATGGCTCCAAGGAAGGAAAAGCCATGAAGGCCAGCTGTTCTCTTGGAAATCTACTGATGCTGTAGGAGCAGAAAGCCAAGAGAGCATTTCAATGGAAGGAACAAGCCAGAGCCCAGGGGTAGGGGTAGGAAATGTGGTGATATGGAAGGTGTGGGAGGTGAGGTTTTAAAGGGCTGGGAGTTCATCTCAGTCTGTCCTGCACTGTGGGCTGGCTCTGTGACGCCGGACCCTGCTCTCCTCCGTCAGTTTCCTGAGAAATGGGCAGGGAGACGAGGAGCATTCTTAGAGCAGAGGTAGACTTTGACCTTGGGGAGGGGCCCCAGGCTCCTCCTGCTGGTGACCTGTGGCCTCCCACTGGATGTTGGGACTTGGGAAGGTGTGTCTGGGTCAGCCCAGGGCCAGACTGTTGGGGGAAGAGTGGGAGGTACAGTCATTGCTCTTCCTGAGAAGTCAGGCTCAGACTGGCCTTGGGGACAGCTTCCTCGAAATGGCCCTGGCATCCTGCCCTGCCCTACCCCCTACCCCCTACCCCCAGCTTTTGACTAGCATCCCAGGAGGGGTAAGGAGGAGAATGGCAGGCAGAGGAGGTGCTGGGTGTCTGTGGGTGCTAGAGTATGTAGCCTTTGCAGTGAATGCTGGGGGTTGGATAGGGTGTGGGTGGGTGGTGACAAGGTCTCTGAGGTCGAGGTGACCCCAGGATGGCCTTGGCAACGGCTCAGAGACAGACCGGAAGATTGACTGTGCCAGGAACCAGTGAGTGGCTTTGGAGAAGTAGGAAGCAGGTGGGTGGTCACAAGGGGCATCAGGAGCCACATATGAGTGTGTTCAGAGCTGCCCTGGTGTGAGGTGGAAGGAGGTGGGAGGTGGACGCTGCAGAGAGAGGATGAAAGAGGAAGTGCTCAAGTCTGTCTGGGGCAGGGCATTCCTCTGGGGGTAGGCAGCTAAAGCTGGTTTCAGGAAGGATCTAGGTGGGCTTCCACCTCCCCATCCATCTCCTGTGAAGTGGGCAAGACATCTGTATCAGAGTTATCTTAAGGGTCCTTGCCAGGCTCTGAAGTGCTGGGTGGAGACAAGTGGGTGGCAGGGAGGTCAGAGGGAGGGGATGCTGCTCCCCTGATGCACCTGGCTCCTGGCTGGGCACACTTTGGGCAGAGAGAACCTGAGAGTGCCATGATCCTGTCTGGGGGTTTTGTGGAGGACATCGCTAGAGGGCAGTGTGATCCAGGTTTGAGCAGTGTCAGTGGGGGTCCCGGGACAGAAAGTGTACCAAACTTTGAGAAATTGGGCTGAAGAGACAAAGGAAAGTGACACAGGGTTCCTGAACTTCTGGATTTCTCCCTTGCCCCCTGCTTCCACTGCATTCTTAGAGACGGGAGGGAGATAAATAATATAAATGATATCACTGATGTGCTTTAAAATGGATTTCTCAGACACTGACACATTTAATAAATACCAGAATCTTGTAGGTTGATGATGCCCGCATTCTGTTTTCCTGATGGAGAGGCAGAGATTCATTTAAAAAATATGTAGATTTACAATTTAAAATTTAATTGGTAGAGATGAAATCCTGGCAGGAGAAGTAAGATACTGCCAGGGATCTTGGTTAAAAGGTCCTGCTCATGTGTTCCAGGTGGGCCAGAGTTTTAGCCTGAGCTTCCCACTAGCCAAGGTAAAAAGAGGAAACATAATCAATTTTGAGATTTGTCCCGTGCCCCTGTCCATGAGGTAAAGAAACTTTTCCAGCGCGGGTGAGTCGGTCGCTTCAGTGGGCGAGGTTAGAGTCCTGGGGTTTGAGAGAGGGTCGAGAGAGGACCGAACGCAGGGCTGGCGGGCGTGGCAGTTGACAACTGGGATTACGCAGGAGTCACCAGACAGGTCCCGAACAACTGAGACCTGAGGGTCAAGCAGGCCCTGCTCCCGGGCATGCAAATCCCTTCCTCCTAGGGAACCTGAGGTCAAGGGTAGCAGTGAGCAGAAC